GGAACTGGCTAAGGCAGCTGCACCCTGGTCTGACCATCATAGAACAAGAGACCCGAGAACTAGAAAGGCGAGGCTCTTCGAGCCATTTATCCCTCCACCCTTCAATTAACCCCACATGTGTTTATTGGCCAGGTTGGCACAATAAACCTTAACTACCTCAGGCAGTAAACATATTAAAAAAAAAAGTTGAAAGGAATACACAGAATCACTATACCAAAAATATATAGCTGACATTCAGTCATGTTAAGAGTTATGATATGGCAATAGTATTGAAGGGGGAAAAAAAGTCCACACTGTACTGAAAAATGGGCTTTATGATTGACTGAATACCAATTGAGGTTTTTCAACAAACAGGTACATTGTTGAGAGTACTCACTTATCGATGCCAAGAAATTTAGAAGGCAAACTACCTGTTCAATCTATTGGAAGAGATCTGTATTTGTGCCCATTTCAAAGAAAAATGATCCAATATAATACAGAAATTATTTTAAAAAGAATATTCCCAAATAGCACACACAGCTAAAGTTTTGATGAAGATTATTTTTTAAAAGTGCCTGTAGTAGTACATCAATAGGACACTGCCAGAAACTCAAGCCAGATTAATCTTTTCTCTTCTTCTAAATTTCTATTGATTTTTTCTCTGCCCTTTGTTTGAAATAGCTAACAATTATTCTTCTAAACTCCCTCGTAAGAAGATACCGGTTTTTCTCCATCTAAGATACCTTCTCGATCTAATTTTGTGTGTAGTCCACTCAGTCGTGCCATCTTTTCTTGTTCTCTCATGTACGTAGGCAAGCCAAATTTAGAAGAGGGCACTGAATGTGGGATACCATTGCTGATGTCAAATGGATCTTGGCTGAAAGCAGAGAATACAAGAAAAATATTTACTTATTTTTTTATTCACAGTACAAAGGGATTTCAACTGTAGATCATATCAAATTATGAATAACACCAAGAAGAATAGAGATTTCAGCATACTTATTTTTGTTCCTTGGAATCTGTGCATGGGTCAAACTTCTCTGTTAGAACAGAATGGAAGGATACTACCATATGGCTCAAAACCAGGAAATGCATCAGGGTTGTGCCCTTTAAACATTTTTATTTAATCTGCATGCTGAGCAAGTAATCCAAGAAACTGGACTGTGTGAAAAATAGTGTACCATTAGGATTGGAAAAGACTTATTATAATCGGATATATGCAGATGAAATATTCAACCTTGAATATAATTGGAGATATAATTGGAGATTCACCCTTGCCTGCTGAAAGTGAAGAAACTTCGGGCATTTGATGATGAAGATCAAGTATTATACTCAGTAAGGATTACAATTCAATGTAAACAAAACCAAAATCTTTACAGCTGGACCAGTAGACAACACCATGATCATTGGAGAGAAGATTGAAGTTGTTAAAGATTTTATTTTACTTAGATAAACATTTAAAGCCCTAGGAATCAACAGTTAGGAAATCAAATGATGCATTGTATTGGGCCACTCAGCTACAGAAGATCCATTTGAGCGGTGAAGAGTAAAGATGTAATTTTGAGGATGAAATTGTACCATGGTGTTTTCAATCAGCTTATATCAAAGTTGGACAGTGAATAGTGAGGACTGAAGAATTTATACCTTTGGATTATGGTTTTGAGGATGAAAATTAAATATACCATTGTTAGAATCATGAACAAATCTATGTTGGAAGAAGTATAGCCAGAGTGCTCCTTAGAAGGGAAGATGGTGAGACTTCATTTTACATACTTTTAAACATAGTATCACGAGGGAGCAGTCCTGGGAGTAAGCCATAATGCTTAGCAAAGTAGTGAGGCACAAAAGAGAAGAAGACCCTCAAGGAAATGGGTTGACCGGGTAGCTTCACTATCTTTACAAAAGTTAAATTTGAGCTCCCTGTTGCAGCCTCTGAGCCAATCCACTTCCTTGAAGTTCTTCCTCTGTTTTTGCTGACTCTCTCCCAAGCTTGTTTTTATTCTGTTTTATATCGGATCATTATGAATTGGAGCCTCCTACAGAGCAACTGCTAATAGTAACAATTCTCGGACTACCAGGTCAGATAAGGGAGCTAGCTATGGCATAATGCTGAGTATAGTTATACAAATATTTCATACTCTTCATTCCTCTTACAGAATGATCAGCAATTTAAGTAGAGTGCCCTCTTTTCTCTCCCCAAACGCCTTTGTGCTGATTTATGAGCGTCTCTGAAGCTATTACAAATTGGAAAAGACTTATTATAATCGGATATATGCAGATGAAATATTCAACCTTGAATATGGGGGGTTTCATGCTATAGTTTTATCAACCCATACTTGCATTTCTTAAGCATGTATTTGTGGAGCAGGGTATGTCACATTTGATTAGGACAAGTGGTAGGCTCCAGGGAACATTGAGGAAGCATCTAGTATTCCATTGTGAACATTGCTATTGTTTTTAGCAATAATTCCTTGGAAGACTTTATCTAGCAGCAGCAATTGCATCGTTTCATTGGGGAGTACAGTGCAGGTAGAGAGACCAATTAAATGATTTTGTAGTTGACTCAGTCAGCATTTTTCCCCACTGGATGTTAGTAGGTGGCAGGAAAAGGAAGATTTTTATGGTTAAATAGGTTTAACTCAGAATTGGTAAACTTTTATTATAGGAGTTTGTAATTTCATCCTCTAATTGGAATATAGTAGATGCAGCATTTTTCTGATTTATTGGGTCATTTAAAATGCTCTGAGAGGGGGATGTCTCTAGGCCTCTGTTAACCTGGAAGATCCTTTGGTAAGTGCTCGCAGAGCCATATGAACTAGTGTGAGGGCCGTGGAATGCACAGGAAGGCAGAGTCACAAGTTTCTTAAATGGATCCATGACCAGGGTATGTGAATATTTGTGCCTGTTCCACCTAATCCTCATTTATCACATAGTTTATTAACTGACATTAGGATTCATGGTAATGGTAAAGAAAATATTTACTCTGTTTTGCATATTGCTAACATATGCCTCATAAGTAACAAAAGCTAGGCAAGAGCATTGATCACTGTGGGGTAGGCTTTGTGTGAACTTTGCAAGACCATATTTGGAATAGTCTGGCAGATTTGTAATTATGCAAATTGGGAGTCATTCCTCCATTTCTTGATTTGATGTGGTCTTCCTCCATTTTCACAGAGTGCTGACTTTTGCTTAATGACTTGGGTTTTGGTACCTAACTATGTAGATAAGTAAGAGGTGGGTGTACTCCTGACCTGTAGGTGGTAATAAAGGAGAGGAAACCAAACCATATCCATTGAGTTAATTCCCACCCAGAGTGTAGCTTTAGGACCAAGTAGAAGCTTCCTATAAAGTTTCCAAGGCTGTAAATCTTTACAGAAACTGCCTCAACTTTTGCCAATGGAGTAGCTAATGGATTCAAACAACTGACAGTTTGAGTGTTTTCACAATTAAATTACAAAACCTATTTTAAAAGAGAGGAGTGTGGGAAAACAATTAAAATTTCAGAATATTTATGTGATTTCAGGAATTCAGGATCTTCTTTTTATTGTCATGAGATTTAATGTTTGTTTGATCTTTAATTGCTTCACAATTACTCATTTTTTGTGGCCCAACTAACCTCCTTGAAAGTAAGAAAAATGTTTTTCTTATATTATATTTTATTTGTTTTCTTATTGAAGTTTGTGTTATTTTATTATGTAAATAAAACTGTTAACAGTACATATTGATGGCATGCGCTAGGTCATAATGAAAGGGGTTGATGCACTAGCAACAGCAACAGACTTGAATGTATTAGCAGTAATAACAATGGCACGGGACGCAGCAACATTTGGTCATCATGGTTTGACATCACATTGACAGCATATAAACAACAATTTGGCTTTTACTTTACTTTTTTGTTTCTGTTTCTGTTAGATTTGTTCAAAGTTTAAACTTGGTAATAGAATCTGGATTATGGACTATTACATTTGGGAAATAATTACTTTATTACTTTACACTACCCCTAGTCTCCACACACACCCACTTCCCCATCTTTACTCACTGCCCTACACACACACACACACACACACACACACACACACACATCACAAGGAGAGAGCCAGGCAAGCATGGAGGAGAAGGGCTCTAGAGAGAAATTTCTGTCCTTTCAGTTAATTAGAACCTGCTGTATACACAGCAATACTGAAAGCAATTCAAGTTGACTGCAAGTTGGTCAAGGGAGCATTCTGATTTGTTTCATTGTGATATCCCCTTTCATATCTCTATGCTGAGCAAATTGTTTTAGAAATGGATTATGTACTTGCTGGCTGGAAGCTTTTGGTCACTTCTTCATGTGGAGTATTTAACATGAAAGTTTGGCTTTTACTCTATATGAACTTAGAAAGCACAATCTGCTATTTCCCATAGAAATCCCTTCAGTTGAAAATTCTTTCAATTAGTGTTTTGTAATTGCCTCACATTGCTGATTTTTTAAAATATCATTTTCTGTTATTTTCACCTACTTTTACTTATTGAGTAAGAGATGCCCTTCACCTTTTCCTACCAACCTGAGAATGTAAATGCAGACATTGTCACGTTTCTGTGACTTATCCTTGATCAAAGCTTCCCTGCCTTAGATCCTAGAAGAAACAAAAGACCCAGTGTTCTGCCTCAATTTCCATCTCATATTTTAAAAGCCATCAGAAAAATTGGTGGGCCATTTACCTCATTGTAGGAGTCCCCTGAGTGCAGCTTTCAGGACTCTCTCAGGACCCATTAGGGACACACATTAAACTGACCTGTGGACCCATTCTAGGAACAGCATCCGTATGTAATAAGCGCATTTACCTGATTAACCTGCTTTTATGAAAAGTGTGTGTCATCGAAATGCCCTGTGCTGTTTAATGTATTAGACCATTCTGGGTGGGATGAGTGAACCACGTTAAACGACCTTATTAGAAAGACACTTGCAACAGTTAACAAGATGCCTTGCTCTACCTAAATGATAACCAAATGCATTTTTTTAATTTATTTGTTTCAAATAGGTTTTGCCTGGCATTCTGCAGAAGCATTGCTGTATCTTACCGGACAGGAATACAGGTAAACACATTTTCTTTTCCTGATTTCTGATTATAGTTGTTGGTGGGTTTTTATGGCTGGAAATTGTGAAATGTTATTGCCTAATTTAGATATTTAGTTATTGTTGTTTTTCAAGTTGGTGACTTTTGGTGCAGCGTTAGAGTAATTTATTCTCTGAGAAAAAATTTTTAAATGAGATAGGGAAATAGAGATAATCAGTCTGATGGTTGCTATCTGAGTTCAGAGACTTTTAAAAAAATTTACTAAGGAAAATTTTTTTGATAATTATTGTGTTTGAGTATTAAGGGAAGGTACTTGCTTTATTAAGTTGGATATATTGGTTTCAAGGTTGTTTGTTTTACTAATTATACTTATTTACAAAAACAGCCATGCTGTTATGGGCTAGCTTGGAATGTTTGTGTATTTGGAGTCTGTTGATGATCAAGGCATTTCTTTGTAATCACAGTAGGAACTGGCTGTCGTATTCTAAAGAGCTTGAGGATCTCAATGCACAGACAAATGGATTGCATGTCCTGAAGTGGGAAATTGAACCATGATGTGATTTTTAACTGTGGAGCAGAGAGGTGTAGCTGCAAGTTGTATGTGTGGAATTTTGCGTTATTTTTAAGGATGCATAATAGAGTAAAAAATAAAATATAAGTGTTAAACTTTGTTTTAATGAAAGTAATGGAGAGCTACTTGTTTGCATGTTATCCTGTGTTCTTCTGCTTAGAGCTTCCAATTTAAGTGATTTCCATGAGGAAATTATATGTCAGGAGGAAAAAGGAAACGGAGTGTGCTTTGTTTGCTCTTCACCTCTTATTTTAGAGTATATGCATTTCTAAGTCAGTCGTGGGATCTCAAGTATGTCTGTTTGTATTCCAGATCATTCTGTTGGGCATGAAGCAGACACTTGCCAGTATTTCCCTCTTTGTTTTCTAGCTCTTGGAATATTAATCCTAGACGACTCCTCTGCAAAAATCAAGAGAAATAATTGCACTGAGATTTATTCTAGTTTTAATGATAAACAGTATCGCAACCAGTTGATTGCGTAGAGTTTCCTTCTTAAGTGGTTGATAAGTTATTACATTGTGTTATGCATTCCAGTGTAAAATATTGAGCAATTTTCGGGAAAGCAGGATTTTTATTTTTCACTGAAAACATGGACAGATTGCTTTTTCAAAATCTTCATAGACCTTGCTCTATTTTGTTTGCTTCTTTTTGCGCATGCAAATATATTCTGACTGAATATAAGAATAATTATTATTCGCAGGAAAGTGAATTGAGAACAAGATTAGGTATACTTTTAGCCTATTTGATTTCTCAAAGTCTTTGTTCAGAATGAAAAGAATAAAAAATTAGTAATGAACAATTCATATGTGAATAATTCACACACACACACACATATATATATACACACACATGTATAAATTTACTTCCAAACTGTGCCCATTAATAGCACAATTTACAAGAAGGAATTAATTTTTCACCTTAGTCATTGGCAGGAAAGTCATTACTCTAAGATCTATAAATAATAATGACAAACTCAAAGTTCAGTATAGTTCTTGGGGAATATTTATATATTTTAAACATTTAAATGAGTTTTCTTTAATATTTGTTCATTATATAAAAAGCTGTGGATGATATTGTCAAGTTGAGATGTTTTATTTGCTTAAAAATTCTAAGTAATCAATATTTTGGGTGAAGGAGATTGTCTCCCATTAAGATCTGAATATTGAGGAAATTGGTTAGGTAATTTTCTTCAAAATGATTTTATATTATAGAGGGTTTCATTTTAAAATCAGGTTATACAGAACCTACGGATATAGCATGAAGTATGTAGCAAGGAAAGAATTACACCAAATGAGAAGAGAAAAAGTTGGCTGAAATTATAACTCTTAAAAATGTAAGTTTATTTATATGAAGGGTTTGAAATTAGTAGCTCTTAACATGTAATTTGATTTAATATATATGAAGGCAGCTTAGTTTTCTAGAAAATATTGTTTTAAAATGTCTTCAGTCTCAAACTCTGTGGTTATTGCTTTTGCATTGTAATGGCACATATGAGTATTTTATTAACTTGAATATAATTCATTTTTAGAATAGTGATTTTGGTACAAGGCTCTTCACACTTTTTTTTTGAGTGAGATGATAAATTTGTGGAAGAATTATTCCTTTCACTGTATGGTTTTAACAATGTCACATTTGTATATTTTTATTTCTTTTAGAAATTCTGTATTCTTCATTTTATTTGTACATGTGGTATATGGTATAATATGTTTTGAGTTAAGTTGTTCACAGCAGACTGCATAGCCAGTTTCATAAACAGCTAATACTGTATTTTAGTATTTAGAAAAAGACTTGCGTAGTCTCAGCTGTATCTCATTGTTACAGAGCTATGGTATTTAACACTGGATGAAATGAATTGCCTACAGCCAGAAAATGTATTTTAAAATCCCTATTCTGAATTAAACATGCTTTCTTTGAAAGACAAAGAAACCATTATTTTCTCTTATGCTTTTGATAATGTCTGATAATTGTGGTTAATGATGAGAAGTGGAGGGAAATGTGTTGATTACTTCTCTAGATTATTGTGTATATTTGTTTTCAGGTACAAGGTAGAACAGCTAAAGTATGTTTATGTAGTGTAATAGAAATGTGGCTAATTAGCACCAATCCTTATTTCAATACCAATATGAATGTACACATTGATTTTTTAAATAAATTTACATAAACCTTTACTTTATTTCCAAACAGTCTTTCTATTTAAGAAAAAAAAGCCCTGTCGTTTTAAAATCATTTAATGTTTGCTATGCCTTCAATTTGGAAGTTACCTGGAAAGTTCCATCTATTGAGCTGTGTGTGTGGAATGAGTGTCTACACTGAGAACCTATGCAAGGTGGAGCAAGTGAGGAAAACCTAGAATGCCACTGGTGTTTGGAATCTTTTTTTTTTCAATCAAGTTATTGGGACTCATACAATTCATCACAATACAAAGATCAATTGTGTAAAGCACACCTGTACATTTGTTGCCCTCATTACTCCCAAAATTCGCTTTCCTCTTGGGTTCCCAGAATCAGCTCATTTTCCTTTTCCCCCCTCCCCCTTACTCCCCCCCCCATGAAGCCTTAATAATTTATAAATTATTATTATATCTTATATTATACTG